CCCCTCCGCAACAAACATTCCCTTTGGTCGGACCCAGGCGGTCTCGATTCCATCTCGACCTCGATCTCGACAATCGACATCGACATCGACCCCGATCTCGACGTCGCCCACACCCCATACACTGGCCCAAACAGCCCTTGCGCTCCCACGACCTCCGCCGCAGGCAGTACTGCGTCGCCCCGTCCGTGACGCCATCGTGAGTTGTTTCTGGCCATTCAGTGGGCTTGGGTTGTGGGAGAAGCGAGGAGGCGCCGCGCACCAGGAATCCGTGCGCTCGTGCGAGGCGAGGAGGCGGGGTTGGGGTGCCTGCGCCTCGTGACCACAACCCTCGGCGTGGACGCCGGAGGCGTGGAAATTGGGGCGAGTGGAGGCGACGTGGGAGCGAGGAGCGAGGAGCGAGGAGCGAGCGCGAGCAGTGGGGAGGATCAACGAGGCGTGCTCATCATGCTCGCTGAGTGCGCCTAGCCAACACGTTGGATCCATCCACCTCTCAGCGCGCTGCTCGCTATCCCAACTCGCAACACCCAACTCCCAACTCCCAACTCACTCGCACACTGCTCAGATATTAACAGCAGATCTGCCTGCCCGGGATGGCCGGGTCCCCTTCCTCCCCTCATCTCCGTATGCGTCCAAGCATAGAGTTTGCAGAACCTCGCACCCCCCCAGCGACACACAGGTCTCCCCGCGCGGCCGACTATGTGCCCCCGCGCCGTCCGCACACAGAGTTCGGCGTGCCCGGCAGTGCCGGCGGCAGCATCGCGGGCGGCAGCGGGAGTGGGAACGAGCCCCGCCCCATCCTGCGGCACCAGAGCAGCAATGTCCGCATTTCCTCTCCTCTCCGTAAACAGGTCGGCTTCGAAGACAAGCCGCGCAGGCCCGCGCTCAAGAGTAGCACCTCGAGCGGGAGCGTGGGCGCGAGCGCCAGCGCCAGCGCCAGCGCATCAGCTGCGGACCGCTCGCCCAAGCTCAGCTTGCGAGAGCGGCGGGGGCGTGCACGCGCCCAGGTGAGCTGGGCACAGACGATCGCCGTGCCGGGCGAGTTTGAGGAGCTTGCGACTGCGCGTCCCGCCAATCCCCGCTCCATTACCTCGAGCGACGGCAGCAGCCGCTACACCAGCAGCATGTACAGCACGGACGAGCGTCCGGCCTTGCGCGCATCTAGAAGTCTCTCGGCGCGCGCTCGACCCGGAAACAGGCCCACCAGCGCCGCGTCGTCGACGTCTATCGGCCCCGCGGGGCTGTGGTTCGACGTGCCGGCTCCTGCCGCGCCTCACCCATCAACATGTATGCCGGGCTTTCCGTCCCAAGAGTTCCCCGACCACAGACCGCCAAAGTTCTCGCGCGAACTCCTCCGCCGCCCTGGCGTGATCATGCCAAAAGCCGCCCCGCGGCCCGCGAGCATTGCTACAGATCATGCTCCGCGCCCCACCCCGCGGCCCCAGCCCCAGCCCCAGCCCCAACCCCAGCCCCTGCCGCAGCGCCAGCCGTCGACGTCGCGCGTCGCAGGCTTCTTATCGAGGAAACTGTCCAAGCGCGCCGTCTCCGTCTCTGGCCCGGCCCCCGACGTGCCCCCTCTTCCCCTGCCCATCCCGCGCGGCGCAGCCCCATCCATGCCCATCACGCCAGTCCAGCACGGGCATCAGCGCTCGCAGACGAGCACGCACATGCCCCCCGGTTTCGCGCCCCCCCACCACCCCCAGTGGCCGCCGCAGAGCATGCCGGCCCGCTTCCGCGGCACCGCCCTCCCCGCAGGTGCTGGTCACTTCCTCCCGCCCGGTGCGGCCCCCCTCCCTGCTTCCCGTATGGCTGTGCCCTCCCTGCCGCCTGGAGCGATGCCGATGGCGTCCTCCCTCCCTCCGGGGGCGATGCCTGCCCGCGGCGTGCCACCTTTGCAGCCGCAGCCTATGCAGCCGCACGTCCTCTCGTCGCAAGAGGCGGCGCGGCAAGCGCTGAGACACTATCGCTCCTCGCCTGCGCTGATGCGCGTCGCGTCCCCGCCCCTCCCCACGACGTGGGTCGAGCGCACGCCGCCCCCGATGCCAGGGCAGCTGGGGTACGACGAGGACATGGGTGTGCGCCAGCCGGACTTTGCGCACCCCCCCGTCCAGGACACGCCGAAAGACGTGCGCCCGCCACACCTCAGCGTCGACTTTGGCGGCGCCGGCGACCTGTGGGCCGACCTCGAAAGCTCGTTCGGCGCACTCTCCCTCCCGGATCTGCCAGCGGACGCAGAGAGCCCTAGCAGCCCTGGCTCTGACGCGTCTCACACGACCACAGCGACGACCCGCGCCACACACACAACACATGTCGCGCGCGACGCGTACTCAGAGTCTGGAACATGCTCGGAAACCGGCACGTTCTCAGAAGCCGGGCACTCGCTGCGTGCCGCCTCGTCTGATGTGGGACACGCCGCGCCGCTCCGGCGCGGCACGGCGTCGGATATCGGCCACTCGACGGCGCCCCTCGTCACGGGGATGCAGAGAGACGTGTTCTCTGACGCCGGCCACGGCTTGGAACGCATCTACTCGCCGCCGGGGTCGCCGGTCCTCGCCAAGGCGGCGCAGCGCGCAGCGAGCGAAAGCGAGTTCCCCCTCGCGTCCTGGAGCCCGGGGCACAAGCTGTGCGCCAGCGCGCCCGGCACGCCCGTGTTCCTGCCGCCGCGCGGCGAGAGCCTGGTCGCGTCGTCGCTGGGCGCGACGTCCTCGCGCCCCTTCGGGCTCCTGCACACGCCGCCGCGGCGCACGTCGTCGCGCAGCCCCAGCTCGATGAGCTTGCGGAGCAGCACGTCGCTCGCGTCCGAGAGCACGGTCAGCTCGCTGCCCAGCACGATGACGTCGATGACGAGCGCGAGCTCGGCCGCGTCCGTCGAGATGCCCGACCCCATCGCGGAAGACATCGAGCTCGAGTACGTGTTTGGCATCGTGCCCAAGGGCTTCTGCGACGAGCGCGCCGAGATCCGCCGCGTGCAGCGCGCACGCTCCACCGCCGCGACGTTGCGCGTGCGTTCCGTCGCCTAGACTTGTATTCTATGACAATGCTGGACAGTCACGACCGTTATGTATCATGAGAGCGTGGGCTGAGGCTTTTCGTGCGGTGTCCTCAGTGTTCCGTCTTTCGTCTGCGTCTCTTTATCACCCACCTCCAAGCGTGGACGCGCGGTGGGTGCGGGGCCGAAATGCGGGGTCACGGCGCTTCGGCCCTCGGGCGATCTTCCGCTCCCCGGCCCTAGCCCTGGGGTTGGGGTCCGGCAACGGCTTGGAATTGCCGAGCGATCATCGAACATCTTTTGTCATCACTCCATCACTGTTCCAATGCTCGCATCACGCCTCGCCACCGCCGCACGCCGAAGCAGCGCCGCTGCGCGCAGACATCTCAGCGACACCGCGGCGCGGAGCGCTGAGCCTGCGCCGCGGGGTAGATGGGGTCTTGGGGTCGGTGAGTCTTCTTCGCTTCTCTCCTCGTCCCCTCCCTCCGCTCCCCCATCTCCCTCCTCCCCTCCTCTTTCCCTCCTCCGTCCTCCTCGCCCCCCCC